AACAAACATTTATTTCTCACAGTTCTGGGGGCTGGAAGTCCCAGATCAGGGTGCTAGAATGGCCAGGTGGGAACCTCTTCTAGGTGGCAGACATTATCCTATATAATAAAACCCTAATATGCAAATCGACTGAACAGGGGGTCCCGGATTGCGAGAGGGTGCAGGCCTGGCTGAGGGACCACTCCCCCCGCCCCCCACATGAATTTTGTGCACCGGGCCTCTAGTTTTATATAAAGTCCTCACAGAGACTAGGGAGCTCTGTGGGGTCTCTTTTATAAGGGCACTAATCCCATTTATGAGGGCTCCACCCTCAGGACCTAAACACCTCCCAAATGCCCCACCTCCTAATACCATCACATTGGCCATTAGAATTTCAACATATGTATTTTGGGGAGACACAGCATTTGGACCATAGCTGGGCCAGAGTTCCTGCCGCTTTCCTTCTCCCTCCAACCTTCAGTCAGAAATCCCCATGCCTCCCTCCCAATGTTGCCCGGAGTCACTACAGGATGATTCTGAGAAATAATGTCACTTCTGCTGACCACTATGTTGTAAGTACAAAAACACTTTGCTGCTGTGTAACAGCTGTAAATTAGTGCCCCCAAACCCATGCAGCCAGGTTAAGAGCACAGAGAAGGTTATACTTGGAAATAACACAGCCTCGAACTTATTTTCCTTTTGAGTAATAGTGTAATGTAGTTGTTCAGAACCAGAGCTTTGAAGCTGAATAACTTACATTCTGTTTCTAACACTGACTAGCTGGGTGACTTACCCTTTGTGTGCTTCAGATAATACTGTCAAACTCAGAATCTGTTGTAAGATTAAATGAGTGGCTAAGTATTAGGTTCTCAGAAAAGTGCATGACACATTTTTAAAAATATATATTTTTATTGGTTTCAGAGAGGAAGGAAGAGGGAGGGAGAGATAGAAACATCAGTGATGAGAGAATCATTGATTGGCTGCCTCCTGCACACCCCACACTAGGAATGGAGCCCGCAACCCAGGCATGTGCCCTGACTGGGAATTGAACCATGACCTCCTGGTTCATAGGTCGGTGCTCAACCACTGAGCCATGCCTGCCATGCACATGGCATGTATTTAGTGCTCAATCAGTCCTAGATATATACAGTTATATTTTCCTTCTTGATTTAATCATCATACAAAGGGATTTCTCTCTAATTTTATCAAAAACATAAGAGAATTTTATACGCATAATGTGTCTTTCAGTAGCATTTGTGACAGATTCTTCTCTGTTGTTTAATTGTTGAAAACGTAAACATGCTGCTTATTAAGTGGTCCAAATTTCAATTGAGGAAGAAAGGCAGAATCAAAACATTTGTAGCACACAAACAATCCATTTTATATGATTGCTGTGCAAACATAATTTTTGGCAGAACTCTCTAATTCCTTGCTTTCACATGGATAAAAAGAATAGCAGCCTCTTTGGACAAGATGAGGCTGGGAATGCAAAGAATTAACATGTGGACAAGGCATGTTTTCAGCACTTTTCTCTAGAGGACCATCTGAAGTGCCTACTTCGCAAACAAAGATGAAAATCTGAGATTCAGTTCTAGCATCCCAGACTGTTCTATTCTACACAGTGGATGGAGGTGGGGCAGGATGACAAAGAGGGAGGTGAGGAAATTTTATCCTCACAGGAAAGGGCCTCTATGGACTTACATTATTTCTCCAACTTTCTCTACCCAAATGAATCTTTCATCTTTGTTTTATTAGAGTCAGAAATTTAATAAAAACTCACTGGAATATGAAAAGATGATTAAATATTTATTGAAAATTTAAATGTGATACTTAAAGGTACTCATAGTCCTTGAGGCGCCTTAAAGGCAATAAACTTTATTTCAGAGCTTTATCTGAGTTTGGCACCCCACCTGAGTGAAAATTAAATAAAAGTGAAATAGAAAAATGCCTCTTAGGAAAGAATGGCCTAGTTTCAGCATTTCTCCGATATTAATTTAGAGGACTCATTTTAACATTGCCCACAGGATAGCCTAAATTTCTCAGCTCTACAAGCCGACCTCAATCCTTCCAGTGTCATCTTCTACCTCATCTCTAAAGTGTCTCTACTTCCATTATTTCTTTTCAGAGGTCAGCAAATCTGTAAGACATTCATTCTCCAAGTCTTTGCTTCTGCTCTTTACTTGTTTTTATTTCTATTGAAATTTTGCACACTCTTCAAAAATAAGCTCTCCTGGGTTGTTTTTGTGATTTCCCCAGATCTAGAATTGTAGATGCTTCTTTGCTTTCTCAATTCTTTGTTCTTCATTTCATGCCCTTAGTTAATTCTGTTTTCTGTTTTAGCTATTTATCTGCGCCTTTTTTATTGTCATAAACAATTAGCTTTTGGGGGAGAGAGTAAAATATTTCTTAGTCATATTTGTATGCCATAGAGCAGCATATATATGCAGAACTCAACAGTATCTGTGGAATTAATGAAACACAAAGACCAGGAAAAATAAAAGCTCTCAGAACTAGAGCGTGCTCTTCTTCATTTCCTTTGCATGCCATCCCTTTACCTCAGGGCCATTTGAATTGCCACCTTTGTGGCTTTGTATTTCGTCTAGGATAGTTGGATATGGACACTTCTTGCTTAAAACCCTTCAATACATACACCTAATTGACCTTAGAGCAATAATTTGACCTTGGTGAGAGGAAACCCAAACTTTATTCAGTGTCCTTTAAGACTGACTCATGCCCAGTCCCACTCCCTCCCTCACACTTAACAACAGCCACAGCGAATTTCTTTGTGTCCCAGAAATGATCTTTATACATAGAATTGCGTGTTGTTCCATTCCTCCCCTGTCCATCTTCTACTGTCTCACTCCTCATCTACCAGATTCAAGATGTTACTTCTTTCTGGAAATCATCCTTAATTCCCTGTACCATCTCCAGCCTGGGATGGGATTAAGCCTTTCTCCTTTATGATCTAATAGATATTAAAGATTAGAAAGACTTGGGAAAGACGTGATTCTGCTTCTTACCAAGGTGACTTTAGACCCGTGCTTCACAAACGTTATGCATCAGAATCACCCAGAGAGTTTGTTAACTCATAGCCCACTGGGCCCATCTCCAGAGTTTCTGATTCAGTAGTCCTGGAATTGGTCCTGAAAATGTGCATTTATAATGAGTTACCAAGTGACTCTGATGATGTTCCTGCCTTAGATAATTTATGTAATCTCTCAAGCTTTAGTTTGCCATATGCAAAATGAGGCTAACTGAGGTGTTTTAAGACTTAGTTGTCAGTGTTTGACATGAATTAGTATTCAGTCAATGTTAGTTAATATTGATTCTCCTTTATCATTGCTTTCATCACACTATTAAATTATAGACTAAACTGGCAAGTAAAGTAGGAACCCCATGGAAAGCAGAGACTATACCCATTTTCTTATTGTTTTATCACAGGTACTTCATGAAGTGCATTAGTTAACACTAAATAAACATATAATGGAATAAATTCAAATAAAAGCAGTCAATAAATAAGAAATAAAATGAATTCAGGTAGCCGCTACACAGAATGCCCCAGGATTCCCTAGAACAGCTTGCTCTAGTCTTGGTTTTCCTGGGACTGTTTTTGCTGATTGGTTCCTAAATCACTTTTGGTTTTGGTGAGTCAGTCCCCACAGCTTTTGCTTCAAGCAACACAGAAAAACATTTTTCTGTAGGAACTAGAAATAAGCACATGGACTACTCATTTGGTTGTGTAGTTTCGGTTTCATACTGAATGAGAGAACTGCCCCAACGTGCTTCTGTCCCTTCTGTGCCTGAACACATGCCTGCATTTAACACTGGATATGGGTTAGAAATTAACATGAACAACTTAATCTGCAGTTCTTCGCAAATTCATGACTCCTCTTTTGAGAAGACGGTTTCTACTCCCATCCTCCTCTTTGATCTTAGAAACTCATATTTTATATTCACTCATTAGTTCAACAGAATTTTCCCACCATTTATCATGTGGCAAGTATTGTGGTGGTGATGCCACATAAGTCACAGTTCTTGCTTCACAGAACCTGAAGGATGGCATATAACAGCTTGCACTGTAATTGTTTGCTTCCTTGTCTCCCATGCAAAATTGTGGGCCTCCTAATGGTAGATGCATTATCTGATTGATTTTTGAGTCTCCAGCTCAATGTCTGGTATATGCTAGATATTCATACACATGGATTATTATTTATACAGAGAGACCCTCCTTGTGATATTGGTGCTTAGAAATAGAACTGAGCTCCAGAGGTCATGGACTGGTAGTCATGAAATGACTTGGCGCTAGATGTGTTATTTGACATACAAAGTGTGTTTTAATTCCATGAGGACCAACCAGTAACATGTGGGAGATATTTACGTAACTTTCCAGATTTCCAGCTTCTCTTGAAAGAGCCCACATTTCTGTATTTACCCCAGTCAGCTGAAGCGAATTCCCACTTTCCCTGCTCTTTCACACGGAGCGTGCCCTCTTGGCTACAGCCCCTACCATTCCCTACTGTGTTACCCAGCTGTCTATGTGTATATTGTGTCATGTGTGTTTGCATGGATTTGTGGTCAGGAGAGAAATTCTTCAAATTCTACATAAGTCTACTGAAAGTTTGTCTTTACAAGCTTATAACAACCTAACCCTGACTTACTCCTTTTTTTCTTTAGTGATGTAGAATGCTAACGAGAATTTGCTTTCATTTGAAATATCTAGCATATTGAGTCATGGATCCACATTTTGTGCAAGTTATTTTTCTGCATTTTCACAGCAGGTTTCCTGTATTTCTCAATTAATTAAATCATGGCCAGTGCCTTTTCTGCTGTGAAGTGCATCTCAGTCCAGAGTTAAAATGTACCTAAATCTATCTGGCTTGGGTTATTTTTCTCATTAATGATTTTTGACCTAACACTTGTCATTTGGCTTGGTTTTGTCATATCAGATTAGCTCATTAAAAACATAAAATGGAGTGAAAATTATAGTTTAGCTAATCAAATATATTCATGCTTTGTTTCAGCTCTCCTTAAAAAGAAGAGGAAGCAAAGATTTACCAAAATCTGAAAAAAAGACTCAACAGACTCCCACAGAGGTATGTAGAGATAAAATTTCACCAAGCACATCAAGCACCTCTAAATGGATATATAAGCTACTTCTATAAGTAGACATATCAGCCAGACATACTCCTGTAAAACAGAGTTAAGTTATGCATATTGATTATGTAGCTATAGATACAGGCAGTACAAAACATTCAGGATTTTCGCTTACAAAGCAAGCACTGACATCCCTATTAGTATCGCATCTACACATGGCAAAATGTCATTAGTACTTTCTGTGTTCCTATATTTGAGAACTGTACCCATGGTGCTAATCTTGTTCGCTCATAATTAATAAGGTCAGTAGAATAGTTGTCCCTACGGTATCAGGGAGAAGAAAGAAAGGAATGTGGCAGGAAGGGATGGCAGAGGAGAGTGCCTTGTGATGGCTTTAGAGTCCTTGCCTGGAGTAATTCGCTAGACCAGTGATTGGGGGAGCAAAAAATAAAAAAGGCAACAGAAGAATAAAAGTAAAACTTAAAAGATGGATTCAACATGGGCTTGTTGAGAACCTTAGAAACACGGCACAGTAATGACTAGTTCTGCTTTCAGGGTGAGCAGAAGGTACTGAGAGATGTAAGGAAGGAGATTTTAAAACAGAAGAGGAAACATTTGGAGGCAGAATGGCTCTCCAAGAACACCTGGCTAGATACCTTTTAAGTGCCTATGTTGGGATATGGAGTACTACAGCATGCTTTTTAAAAAAATTCCTTCAAAGGGTTTTCTTAGTAGGTAGAAACTAACTAAAGCAATATTTACAAAATTTGAAAATTTTGAAAAAAGCAATATTTACAAAATTTGAAAAAAGTTGATCATATTTTTAAAAAGCATAACATATTAAATGTTTATTTTCTCTTTTCCTTTCTCTACCCGTTCTGTTCATGGTGAATTTTTCTTTGGGTACTTGCACAAGAATATTTGTAGACCAGAGCCTTATACCAAAATCATTACTCTTTTTTTGTACATTTTTCTCAGTTTCCTGGATAAGTTCAATATGCTCTGTTGCTACAGCTTTCTCGCTGTCTTCGGCATAACTTTAGCCACCTCGCTCTAGGTATTTTGCTGTGAGTCATCCCCCATGTCGCCTTGAATCCTCTTCTTCAGCTTATTTAGGGGGAAGATGCTTGTAACGTCTTACGTCGGCTGTAGTCAGCAGTTTATTTCTTTTCATTCAAGTCCTATTCTTATATTTCCCATGCTAAAGCTTATGCAGGTGTCTTTTTCGATTGTTTTCTTGATTTACATAAAAATGGTCTCCCATCCTCTTTCTCTCTTTTCCCAAATGAGGAGGACAATGAAGATCTGAAATGCCAGCTGCAGTTCGTGAAAGAAGAAGCTGCTCTGATGAGAAAGAAAATGGCCAAGATTGACAAAGAGAAGGACCGATTTGAGCACGAGCTGCAGAAGTACCGGTCCTTTTATGGGGATCTGGACAGTCCTTTGCCCAAAGGAGAAGCGGGGGGCCCTCCCAGCACCAGGGAGGCCGAGCTCAAGCTGCGGTTGAGGCTGGTGGAGGAAGAAGCCAACATCCTGGGCAGGAAAATCGTGGAGCTGGAGGTGGAGAACCGAGGCCTCAAGGCCGAACTGGACGACCTGAGGGGCGAAGACTTCAATGGCTCGGCCAACCCGCTCATGAGGGAGCAGAGCGAATCCCTGTCGGAGCTGCGGCAGCACCTGCAGCTGGTGGAAGACGAGACCGAGCTGCTGCGGAGGAACGTGGCCGACCTGGAGGAACAGAACAAGCGCATCACGGCCGAGCTCAACAAGTACAAGTTCAAATTCCCGGCGGCCACGAGAGCGCGCGGCACCAGGACAGCGCCAAGACCGAGGCGCTGCAGGAGGAGCTGAAGGCGGCGCGCCTGCAGATCAACGAGCTGAGCGGCAAGGTCATGCAGCTGCAGTACGAGAACCGCGTGCTCATGTCCAACATGCAGCGCTACGACCTGGCCTCGCACCTGGGCATCCGCGGCAGCCCCCGCGATAGCGACGCCGAGAGCGACGCGGGCAAGAAGGAGAGCGACGACGACTCGCGGCCGCCGCACCGCAAGCGGGAGGGGCCCATCGGGGGCGAGAGCGACTCGGAGGAGGTGCGCAACATCCGCTGCCTCACGCCCACCCGCTCCTTCTACCCCGCGCCCGGGCCCTGGCCCAAGAGCTTCTCCGACCGGCAGCAGATGAAGGACATCCGCTCGGAGGCCGAGCGCCTGGGCAAGACCATCGACCGGCTCATCGCCGACACGAGCACCATCATCACCGAGGCGCGCATCTACGTGGCCAACGGGGACCTGTTCGGACTGATGGACGAGGAGGACGACGGCAGCCGCATCCGGGAGCACGAGCTGCTCTACCGCATCAACGCGCAGATGAAGGCCTTCCGCAAGGAGCTGCAGACCTTCATCGACCGCCTGGAGGTGCCCAAGTCCGCGGACGACCGTGGTGCCGAGGAACCCATATCCGTGAGTCAGGTACAGTTCTGCCTATTGCGAGCCCGGGCGATGGCGAGGCTGGCGCGCGGAGCTGCGGGCCCCGGTGGGGCGGCTCCGCGCCCCGACCCCCACGCCCCGCTTTAGAGAAGTCCCGGCGCTGGGCTCCACTGGGCTCCACTGGGCGCACCTGTTCTTTCACACTGTCCTCCTTCAGGCCTGAGGTTTTCGTCGCCGCATTCCCAGTCACTGTTTCCCCTCTGTGATTTTTAATCCTGCCCCCCCCCCCACCCGTTTTTGTGTAAAGATTAAAGAAAGGGTTTTTTAGGTTTATAATAATAATGATTATTATTATTATTCATTATTAAAGGTGAACATTTACAATATTATTTCACCGATTCTAATAGAACAGCTGCAAGAAGATCCCTACCTAATAAGGAATCTTCAGTTGTTGGTTTGCAAATTTCCAAGCCAAGATTCAAATTGAGTTTAAAATACATATTTTTAAAGTCACTAAGTTGATGCGTAAGTACTGTTAAATATAGAAGCTGTCGGAGAAAAGAGCTGATACTGTGTCTAGAGCCCGACCAAACGGAATACATGGAAGCTGTTGCTTTACAGGTTGAGGTGACATAATCATTACTTCTAGAAAATACCACTGTCGGCTCTGCAGTGGAGAATCTCAGGACTGGGGAAGTTATTTTTTAACTTCAAGGCCACACGAATTCAGAGAAATAGTAATAACTATTCCCGAACAGGGGAAACCAGCATTTTTCCTTCATCCTAAATTGTAGAGGCACACTTGATGAATTGGACTGAGCTGCTCTAGCCAGGTATGGTGGCCAAAGACCAACGCATTTTGTCAGAGTGAACCACCTAAGAGATCATTGAGAAAGCAAAACAGGCAGCGCCCCCACCCCCATCCCCCCAACCCCATGGCAAGCCTGGTATCCCGTATCCATTGGAGAACCCGTGGAAGCACAACAGCATGCATGGCTTTTAAGACACGCCAGAGGTTTAAATTAAAAAACCACTTTATACACAGCAGCATGACATTCATTTAACTGCCTGTTAGTCACAACTAGGAACATCGCAACCCTCTTGCTTATTGATCTTGCATGTTGCTCTGCTTTGCTCTGGAAAGAAAAAAAAATAGTCTTATGATAAAACTTGTTGAATTGTTTAAATGTTGAGGCTTATTCCTTCTATTGATCGTATCAAAACATTGGTTTCTGGTTTCCTCGTTGAAGCTTTTTTGGGTACTGTGAGCATGTGGTTTTTCACCTGTGCCCTTGGGAACAAAAGAGACATCAGAGCGAGAGAATGCACTGTGTATAGTAACAGGCTTTCAGATCTGGTCAATAGAGGCATAAGGGGGGTTCTGCTTTATCTGAAGTTGAATGAATGCTTCGATGAGTTGATATAGATGTAAATTTTAAAATTATTATTAATTCTTCTCTTTGTCTTTGCATTTACCTTCCCAGATGTTCCAGCCTATCATTTTACTTATCCTCATTCTTGTATTATTTTCATCACTTTCTTACACAACAATATTTAAACTTGTCTTCCTTTTTACGCTGTTTTTTGTACTGTAAATATTTCATCATTTATCATTCATTGTAGTATTTTCAGTTTGTTTATTTTGTTCATCCTTCAAGACAAGAAGTAAAAGAAGTATAATTTCTGTAGTAACCCATGCTATAAAAACACTGAAGACTGCTTAATTTCTTTAAAAAGACCCATCTCACCACTACCAAATTCAGTAAGAAGCCCAGGGACTAAAATATTTCAGGTAAGGAAGTAAGTGTGACTTTTTTTTTATTATAAATCATTTTAACTTGTGCTTCTGTCTTTTACGTCTTAATTTGTATTCTTCTCGATAAAGAATTGGCAGAATGACTATAAAAATTGGCTAAATCAGTTATTTCTCATTAGCTGACTGATGATAATTCAAAAGCTAGACATTCACTCACAAGTTGGTTACATTTCCAAAAAATACGTAGGCTTTGCTAGTTACATCAGACTAACAGGATAATTTTGATATCCAATAATATATATGAAAATTTTGGTGAATGAATGAAATGGGGCCCTCATAGAAAATCAGTAATTATTTGCATTGTTGATGGCGTTCTGTTAAAAAAAGATGTGTTTTGAAACATACGTGTAGATTAGGTCTCAGTTCATTGAGAAAATAATTATTCCCATCCTACTGCATTTGGCCATCTTTCAACCAAACTATTATACTTTGAGCCATATGTTGCTAATCAAATTTGTTGCTTGAAGTCCTGTCCTCTGTAATAGATTGTTACACAGAACTGCTTCCGGAGCAGGAAATATGCTAGAATTATAATATGTGAAATGTTTTGAATAGGAACTATACAGTCATTCTCTAGAATTTTATTTAACCACAAACCACAACCAGTAGTATATAGTTCCAGTAGGCATTACTCTCTAGACATAAACTTTCTATGTTGAACCTAAGCCCCCTTCCCCTCCTATCTGAATTGGCTCCATTTACCCAAAGGCCTTATCAGTCCATCTCGTTGTGCATTTACCCAGTGGAAAGGTGGGCTGCACCTGTACCACTGACTATTCAGAAGTCACAATGCTCGTTGAAGACACATACTTGGAAATACTCTCAGATTGGTTGGTGAATATGAAAATCTGTAGTCAAACTAAACCAACTAAATCAGAGAAGACAAGTAGGAATAATACATGACAGAAAGGAGAACCAAGATGAATATTGTGAATGTACAAAGTCACACGTGCACATACGGAGATGGAGGTGCATGTGCACACTGAATGAAAGCCTCAAAATGAGCCCCCCCCTGCCGGGAGCCGGTCCATCCTTGCTACAGAGAAGAAACATCTGCACAGCATATGTTTCGAGGTACCTGGCGTATATAGCATATTGTTCTTAATATGTTTGCTCTCCTTAGCGCCATGTGTTTTAACCAAGGTCACCTCTCCGAGAAAGATTGTTTCCCCAGGTGGGGATCTTTCCCTGAGGTTAGGGAGGGGATACAACCCCTTAATTAAGTGCCAGGCCGGTAGTTAAGCCTAATAATCTTTACTCCCTGGAATGGAGATAAGAAACGCCCTAACCTTTGTAATAGAAATTGACAGGATTAAAATCGGCTGGTATAAATACGGATGTAACAAGACAATAAACAACACAACCTGATCAGATCCTCATCACATCATCATCAGATCCTAACCAGAACCTAGCCAGAGAACATGGCAAAAGATCCTGGACAGAACATGGCAGAACTTCACTGGAGAACCTAGACAGAACATGGCAAAAGAACCTGGATAGAACCTGGCCGGAGAACCTTGCTACAGAACCTGGTGACTGAACCTGGCAGGAGAACCTGGAGAAGCTGGATGGAGAACCTAGCGAGAGAACATGGCACCAGAACTTGGTTGGAGTTCCTGACCAGAACTTCGCTGGAGATCCTGGAGGGAGAACCTCGCTATGCTGATGAACTGAAACCAGTTTCCATGTCATTCATTCTTCGCCGACTCCGTCCACACCTTTGGGGACCCCTGGACCGCTGGGATTGGACCCCA